TAAATATATTTTTACTTAATAACAATATTCCCTAAAAATTATCTCATTGAAATTGAACTTTAAAAGATTCAAAAACTTTATAAATTATTCAATTTTAAAATGTAAAAAAATGAAAACAAATCTTGTAAAAATTCATTTTTCATAGGAAAAATTTTTTTCTTCAGACAATATTGTTTTTAATATACAGTGTAACCTGGATATAAGAGACCCGAATATAAGAGAAACCCGGATATAAGAGAGATTTTCTCTGGTCCCAAATTAGAGCCATACTTACCTAAACAAAATAGACCAAACCCGGATATAAGAGAAACCCGGATATAAGAGACTTCTTCTCTGGTCCCGACAACTCTCTTATATCCGGGTTACACTGTATATCAATCATAAAAGCAATTAAAAGCTTCTCTAGTAATGTCTTAGTTTTATTGCATTTTTTATTTTTTGATTCAGAACAGATTTTTGGTAAGACAGGTTCAATTTTGCAAAATAAAATTGGTGATTTAAATTCTCAAAAAAAAAAATTCTGCTTTTAATTAATATAGTCACTACAAATTATCTTGACGAATTTCTGAAGCTTTCATAAAATTAATAAGGGGGAGAAACATATAAAAAAAAAATGTTTTTATCAAAATTTTCTAATAAAAATTTTTTCAAAAATAATTTCATTCATTTGTAAATAAGTCCTAAAAATTTCATTAAATTCTGAGAATTATTTAATTTTTGCAAGAATTTCCAAATTAATATGTCTGTCACTGCAAAAAGAGGCAAGAATTTGCAATGCTAAAAGTTAGTACAATTGTTGATGCAAGAAAAACAAGTTTTTTTAATCAAAATTTTGAATGTTTTAAAAAGGAGTAAAAAATTTTAATAAAATAATCAAAAAATACTTTGATCCCTCCTCTTAATAATAACAAAGATTTTGATGATAAAACTGTTTTCATGGTAAGCTGATTTTTTAGCGATCATGTGGAGGTACCTATACAAATAGGAACCCCCACTCTTAAAATTAAGAAAAAAATATCAATATGTTTTATTCTGAGAAAGGTCTAATAAATGCTAATCTACAAAAATTATTAGAAAAGAATTTTTTTCCTTATCAGCTTTTTTAATCAATTTATGCCAAGCAAGGAAATAATGCCACTAAGATGCAAAATTAGAAGGAACTGGAAACCTAATCCTAAACAGGAAACAAGGGAGTTAACCTCAAGTGGTGTCACAAACCACTATTCTACACAAGAGATAATGACAATGACAACATATCGTCATTTACAAGGAATGATGTGTATATGTATACTTTTTTGTAAGTTGAATAAGAGGATGCAGAAAGACTGACGGTCAGTAATATATCAACGATGAGTGCTTTTATAATTATGTTTGTGTACTTAAAAAAAAACTTTTTTTAAATTATTATTATATACTATCAATGATGTCATGATGATAAAGATGATTCCTTTCATGGAATGGTAATGAAGAAGTCTTAGGACAATGGAAACAAAAAGAGAGACCCCCCCTTCCAAAAAAAAAGTTTCAGGCCAGAACCACACCTGCATTCCTGATATTTTAGATTCCCAAGTTTTCATTACTGCGATTGTTTTTGGTGATTTTTCTTAAACCTACAGAAGTTTGTTTAGAGACCTTGTGGCATGTGGTGCACCAGGTCTCTGTATTCAGCTCTTGAAAAAGTGTGATTGGTTCTGCACAAAGCCTTCACTACTATAATCAAATCAAATCATATGTGGCGGTGTCTAGCTGTTGGTTCCTAGGAACTGGGATGCTTGACCCTCAGACATTGAATATGACGGTAGAGTCCACCATATATATATATATATATGTGTGTGTGTGTGAGAGAGAGAGAGATGAAAAAAAAACAAAAAAGAGATTTATATTGCATAACAACCAACCCAATTTTGATCTTCATAAATGATCTGCTTAAAAATATACCATTATATATGGGTACGACTCTAAAACTCTCGATGGTCAGAGAATTGTGACTGATCTCTCCTCTGATCTTGCACAAACTACCCAATTCTGGGATAAAAAGCAGATGGTTACATTCAATGCCTCAAAGACCAAGCTAGTTCATTTGCCAATCTGACCCTGAACTACCACAAAGCAAGATAGGGAAGCACCATGCCTTGAAATTTTTGTAATGTCACTCTCCTGGAGGTTAGCATCCCCCATGCTGATAGATGGCAAAAAAAAAGGTTCTCTAAGATGATTAAGAGAGAGCAGTATCATTTTGGAGACATTAACAAGTCATTTCTTGCCCCAGTTAACAACAGATTTGAGATCAATTGCCAATTTGACCATATCAAACCAAATCAGATTTACCATGCATATAAACCTCTTGATTTATATGCATCAGATATACGCAGCTTATTTGATAGTGTAGAAAAGATTTTCTTCTATGGAACAATTTGCATACACCCAACCACACAATATTTAGCATCTAGATATGTCAAGATAGAAGCTGTATGTGATGAGTGCATTTTCAATGGATTATTGTACAGATCAATAATGGATAAGAGATAACTGGTATTGAGGTGTCAAAGTTTTACCCCATAATTTATTTCCTGCATACAGAGAAAGACTAGCTGTGATACGACTATATTACTATATATGAGGGTGTATTAAAAGTATTTTTGTTTTTATAAACCATTATTCTAAAGCTTATTTTATCCAGGTAGGATGGAAAGTATGACACTAAAATCCAAACACGCATCAGATTAGCAAAAGATTCATTCCAAGAGCTAAACAAAGTACTAAAAAACAGGAAAGTTCTGGATTGCTATGTGATATCAATCCACTTATATGGCAGTGAATGCTGAACAATTTCACCACAGATGAAGATGAGACTTGAAGCAAGAGAAACAAAGAAAAGAGTGCTGAACTGCTATATAATATCAATCCTCCAATATGGCAGTGAATGCTGGACAATTTCCCCACAGATGAAGAGAAGACTTGAAGCAAGAGAAACAAAGAATAGAGTGCTGAACTGCTATGTGATATCAATCCACTTATATGGCAGTGAATGCTGAACAATTTCACCACAGATGAAGATGAGACTTGAAGCAAGAGAAACAAAGAAAAGAGTGCTGAACTGCTATATAATATCAATCCTCCAATATGGCAGTGAATGCTGGACAATTTCCTCACAGATGAGGATGAAACTGGCAGCAAGAGAAATGTGGTTCTACAGAAGCATACTGAGAATTCCTTGGATGGAGCAACTAAGCAACAAGAAAGTCTAAAAGAAAATGAAAAAAGAACAGAATCAGAAAGAGATAGCTGAAATTTCTTGAACACACAATGATGAAGTGTTTGGAAAACTTAACTCTCATGGAGCATATTGAAGGCAAGAGAGACAGATGTCAGAGGGCAAGGCCGGCTCAAGGTACTGGCATCTCAAGCAGTCACCCAGAGCTCCATCATGTCGTGTGTTTAGGATCTTCCAAAACTAAAGCTAATTAAAACAATAATGCGGTCGTCCAGGACTTCAGACAAATTTGATTCTTTAGCTATTTTGTTAATAGAAAATGATCTTGTAAAGAAGATAGATGTGGAAAGTACCATGAAAATATTTGCTAATCTAAATGATAGAAAGAAAAGTTTTAGGTAGATAATAAATGACTTCTGTAGCTTGTATTAAGTTGTACGTTGTAATAAACTTGTTATTCTACATTTTCAGTTTTTATCCTTGTGAAAATTTATAAAAATTATACTTGTAAGGGTGCCGAAGTTCAGTTTTCCCTGGGTGCCAGCAACCCTAGGTCCATCACTGGCAGTGGGCCACCTACCTGATGAGCTGCGTGAACAGATGGTGAAACAGGAGATGGGAGGCTTGGCAAAGGGGAGAAACACTGCTAAAGGCCATGAGAGATAGGAAGTTGTAAAGAGTCATGGCATAGAAAAAGAAAACATGAGACAAGGCAAATAGAAAAAGAAGAAAATCTAAAAACTATGATTTACTAAGACAAAAATCTTTTGAAAAGAAATGAAATAATATTTGACTGTATAACTTAAAACTAAGACATTTTTAACCTTTAAGTGACCAAAGATGAGCAAGACAGCAATTTATATTGATTTCTAAAATCATCTTAATAGTAAAATGATATACTGGAACAAGTAAAAACTGATTGTTTTCACACTTTCTATCGGCTATAAACAAATTGTGCCTTTTGCAAATAAAAATAAAAGATTAAATTAGACATCTTTATCTTGCCACATCCTTTCAGGAGGTTGGTGAACATGGCTCTCCACAACTTCTTGTTACTTTTTTTGTTCTAAGCAATTCTTGACCCTTTACTATTTCTCTTTGTCTTTATTTACAGTCAGACTAATGTCCACATCAAAGTTTTGGCCATTGTGCTCTCCATCCATTTTCATGGGAACACTGGAATGACAACAATCTACACTATAGATTAAATAGAGAATTTACTAAAAGTTACCCAGATTAACAGACACTTGAACGCTGCAGGGCATAGTGGCTGAAACATTGTGATGGTAACAATAAAGATGATGATCTGTCTGTAAATAATGCAAATAATGATAATTCTAGAAATAACAGAAACGGCTTGCCCTTATTTTGTCATCCATTCATTCAAACCCACTATGTAGATTATTTGCTATTTTCTCTACTTGGCTTTCAACTTAGCCTATGAGTGTTTAATTCTCTATGTCTTCTTTCCTCATTACGTGTTTCTGAAATTTCAGCTGTCTCTTATAGAAGTTTCATTTCTACGATTTTGTTTAGTGGCATATCAACCTGTATGGGTTATTTAATGCCAAAATCTAAATATTTTGTACAAATTTTTTTGTGATAATAATGGTTTTAGTAATACAAGTCTTACTAATTAACTCATATCTAAAGGGGAAGAGGTGGATTCAAATCCAAAAAGAGTATTTGTGCTTCGATGAAATTAATGAACCCAACTTGAATTGGAACACAGGTGTCCGATTAACTATTCTGAGCCATTATTCATTACACCACCTACACATCCAAGCTTACAGCACTTGGTATTTCCAAGTGGTTACTCATCTAGGTACTGACCTGGCTTGACATTGCTTAACTTTGGTGATCCTATGGGAACTGGTGTTTTAACATGATGTGGCCGTAAGCCCATTTCTACAATGAAAATCAATTGCACAGAACATGTTTAAGGAGCAACATTTAAGACGAATAGTTTTTGAATTGCAAACTTGAAACCTCCTAAAACCTATTAAAGTTTTGAAAAATCTAAATTGTTTTTCCTAAATTAAATCCTGCACATATCCTAAATCCGAGAATGTTCAAAACAGCTAACGATTTAAATTAAGAAAAAAAAAATCAAATCAAATCAATAAATAAATAATGAAAGGTGTGCCTTAAACAAAAGGCCTAGGAAATAGGACAGTAATTTTTGTCTGGAAAATACTCTAACATCTGCTGTGCAATTTTGTTTTAATTAAAAGTAATTTGATATCAGCCTCTTGAAACAGGGGAAGATAATGAGAGTTTAGAGAGGCTTGCATCAAAATGGGATGCTGCACTAGTGCTTCTGCTGCTGTGTGCATGAGACAAGAAAACTGACAGGGACTAGAACGTCCGTAGGTTTGAAGGGGACTCAGTGGTAAACAGTAGCAAGGAGGATAAAGGCTCTCCATGCAGCAGTCATGACCCCAATGAACTGTGCCACTCACCCTCAGTGCTAAGCCGTCCCCCCCCCCACCTCTCTCTTGGGGGAAGCTAAAAGAAGTGGGTTGGTTGAACAAGCAATGGAGTGGACATTTTCGAGTTTTTCTTCTTCCTGTACATTCTCAATCTCTTTCACACACATAGAGAGGCACATCACTTTTCTGCAAGTAATTCACAGCTGCGCGAAGTGAGATAGAATAGGGAGTAGAAGAGAAGCCTGTTGTGGTCAGGAGAAAGAGCAAGGTGAGTGTGTGTGCATGCACTTGTGTATTTACATGCACAAGCATGTGTGTGTGCTTGCAATTGCATGTGTTTGTTTGCATGCACGTGTGTGTGTGTGTGTGTGTGTGTGTGTGTGTGTGCAGGTGCTCATGTGTATGTACCCATGGGTGTGCTCATGCATATGTGTGTTTACATGCATTCCCATGTGTGTGCGTGTTGAATTAGGTTGGGTGTGAGCAGAGATTAAGAGTTGAGTGAGAAACAGGAAATCGGCTGGGGCGGGTCAAAAAGGATGCGAAGGAAAAAAAAAAAAAAAGTGTGCAGGTGGTGATGGTAGCGGTGGGGGGGGGTGGCGGAAGAGGGTGAAACTGATGATTGATGCAGACTTGTCATGGAGGAGGCAAGAAAGAGAAGAGATCAGTGATTGTAGAGCGAGCCCCCAGGTGCCAACAAAGTGTAGCCAAAAGGAGAGATTAAGAAGTGCATTTCCTCACTCTCCCCTCTCCCCCAGCGGGTGGGGTGGGGGAGATATGGAGGGAAGTGATGTGGTATGAATAAGCAAAGGGTTGAAGAAGTTGGAATCATCTGTTTCTACAAAAAAAAGGATATAAAAAGGATATAAAAAGAAATGAATGGTCATCTCATTTGAAGCTATTACACATACGGACATTCCTTTTCATCACTGATCACAGCAGTTGCCTTTATTATGTCAAAGGAAATGGACAAAAATTCTCTAAAGTGTTTCATCAGATGTTAAAGATTACAAAATTGCTCATTTATCGGAACACTAAAAATAATAAATTTGTGTCTAATTTTGGTATCACTCTTAATTCAATTTCTTCAGTCAGCTGTCAGCTTTAATTACAAAACAAATAATGAAGATTTATGATGTGCATAGCCACAGATCAGAGTTAAAGCTTTGGGCAATTGATTTCAGAGATTCGTTCTTGACCAGTGGATAATTACTGTACTACCTGGGATTTCTGGCCATTTTAAAAACCTATAAGAATAAATAGAAAAGATTGGTTCCTTAAAAACATCTGTTAAGCAGAACTTTTACACTGCACTAAAAGGAAGAGAGTCAAAGGCATGCCCTGATGTCTGCAGAAGAAGCTGATGAAATTTTTTAATAAATGATCCATATGGCTCCTCTTCTACATGCATATATGAATTTCCATTGAATCCTTTCTTCCTGGCTTCACCTTCTCCCACGTGTTTCCTAAACTCTACTATTTTAAAAATGACATGTAAAACTATGAATATTATTTTCAAAAACTTGGGAACTTGCAGTTAGGATTTCTGGCCATTTAAGAACCTATAAGAATAAATAGAAAAGACTGGTTTCTTAAAAATATCTGCTAGGCAGAACTTCCACACTGCACTTAAAGGCACACCTTGATGTCTGCAACAGAAGCTGACGAAAATGTGCATTGGTCCCTACATCAGCAATAAAATATTATGTCATATTTTGCTCTTGTAGAAACACAAATACTCTACTGAGGAGTATGGGACCACAGCTTTTAACATGCAAAATGTAGTTTACATAACAAGCACATTTTTGCCAGATAAAGTTGCTCATCCTATGCCTAAGGAGACACAACAAATAG